TAAACTGATATATTACTACAGCAAAACTGAACAATCTTTTGCAGAGTACTATGCTGTAGCAGCTCTACTAGATCTCTCTTATTGAGTTAATATCTACACTTCTCAAGATTGAACAGAGAAGAAATGAGACTTATATATTAAATTAGTCTGAGACTACTACAATACTAACTATTAGAGATTTGAAGAAGCAGATGTTCAAGATGTGAAGACAGTGAAATATAATTCTCTAGTAAGTAATAATCTTTGATAATACTTCATATTATATAGAACTATAATACTAACTATGAAATAGAACTTATATACATTGATTATAACTGAAAATCAGGCAAAACTACATACTTGTAAAACTGAATTTGATCACTATCTTTAAGATAATCTGATAAATTTACACATTAAATCAATTCTAGAGTTATGAAAAATTGTTGAGAGTATATATTCAACTGTTGCACTGATAATATATAATATTCTGACAATTTTGTTAACAGAGGTGAGAATGAAGTGAAAGTTCAACTCAAGTTGAGATATTTATCACTATCACTGAGAACAATTATAAGAAGAAACAATCAAGAAACTCATGATTATAAAACATGGAATTATCAGACAGTTTAATACCTCTGATCACAGTATATCAGAGAAGTGTAGTTTTCATGAGAAAGTGAAGAATAAACTTGTACAAGAATGTATTTAGTTGTTTCATGAGTGTTATCAATAATTGTTATTAAATTCTGATTATATAAGCAATCACTGAATGAACTGAATGAGACTGATTTTAATCTTCAGTTTCAGTCTCATTCTGATTTTGAAAGAATGATTATCTTTCACAGTTTATTCTGAGAAATTCCTCTCATTTCACTGTTCTTGAATTAAATCTGGTCATTTTTCACACTATTTCTCTCAGAAATGGTTCATTTTCAGATTTCTTGAGGCTTCGTCCTGATGGGACTCACGCCAAGAAATGTATGAGATCAGATCAAATGGGACCAAATGTGAAATTCATGGTCCCGCGGGCCAGTCTAAGCAGTTTTAACTGAACTTGAGAAAATGGCTAACTCTAATACATCTTGTATAAGATCAGGCCATTCCCAGTCATTTTCATCAATATAGTTGAGAAGTGATATATTCTCTTTCTCTGAATCTGATGAGTTTTGAAAGAGAGTTCTTATAAAAGCTTGACATTTTTTCTTAAACGAGTTTGCTGTATATGATTCATTCTGAAACTCATATTCTAAGACTGGAAGTTTTGCTACACTTCTTGTTTTAATATAGTTAAATGCTTTAAAAACTTTCTTTTCTTATGCTTCTTCAAGAAATTTATTCCAGCAGTCTGTTTTAACTCTTTTAATATCTGAAAAATATTCATTTCTGACAGCTTTGAACTCTTTATCAGAAATTACATTATTCTTTCAATCTCTTCTAGCAGTAGCTAATTGTTTTCTTTTAGATATGATATTCTCATTTCATCAAGGTTTTAAATACTCAGAAGACTTTCTCTTTGAAATATTATCTTTAACACTTATTAGAATAATAGATGTAATGAGCTTCACTCTATTCTCAAGCATTTCATTTGAGATATCTTGATCAGGATTTCAATATAGCTCACTCTGTCTTTCAGATTTTAACAGTCTTATTATTTCTTCAACTGCCTTTCAATCAGCTTTTTCAAAGTTAATTATTATTATTATTATTATTCTTCAATTATAGATGTATGCAGTCAGAGACTATGATATCTACCTGAGAACCTTTAGTTCTCAGGGTTTTTCCTATATCTATAGAGTCAACTATTATACATTTATCAATTTCAGATATGCAAAATCAGAAAATTCCAGCCCAGAATACAAAAACTGCTTACAAATTGCAGTATTTCAACACCTTCTGATACTTTGAAACCATTTGAAAATATCATGACAAAGGAAAAGAGAACATAGTCTTAAAGATAGACACATTAAATAGATAGATAGAAAAGAACAGAAAGAAACAAGTATAGTAAAGAGAGACTATAACAAAATAAAATTATTAAAAGATAGTATATAGCTGTTTTAACAGACTATATATAATCAATTTCTGCCTCTTCATATTCAGATACTTCTGAATTCAGTCATTTTCTTGTAGCTGCTTGAGTTTCTGATAGAAAGTCTATTAAGTATTTAATTCCTGTCTCAGTTGAGAATAAGAACCTCATATATAATTGATTTAAATTATACTTCTTCTTTAATCTGACTCTGAGACTATTGTATAATGCACAATGTATTACAATATACTCAGGATTTTCATTCACATTGCAGAATGAGCACTCTGTTGAATCAAATCTATCATCAAATCTTTGTATATAGAATTTGAAATAATCATGTTCTAGTTTCAGCTGAATTATAGATGAGAATACTTTCTATTTATATTTAATTAAACAAGATTTTCACTTTGATTTTGTCTCAAATCTTGAATAATGTATGCTCTTCTTTTGTTTCTGCCAGCTTTCATTTCACTTGTTTAAACAAGATTCTTTGATCTTTCCCTTTATGAAAGACTAGGACACTGTTTTTTGAATAGATCTGCTTAATTCTGAACCCTTTTTTGCAGCTGAATCAGCCAATTCATTGTCATGAATATTCATATGAGCAGGAACTCAATGCAGATGAATTATCAGTTTTGATGTTCTTCTCATTTGAATTTTCAAAACAGAGTTTAAAATCAGTTCAAGATTTATTTGATCATTATGAATCTGACTATTTCTAAGTCTTTTTAAAGCAGCTTAACAATCAGAGAATATTCATGTCTCTTTCAAACTATTTCCTCTTTTATGAGATTTTATTTCAATGAGTTTGAAAGCTTTCACTATTGCAAATAGTTCAGTATCAAAGACTTCAGATTCACAGTCTAAATTCCAGAAATCTGAGATAAAATTGATATTATCTTTAGTATAAGCAATGTCCGCATCTAATCTATTCAAATTCTCATTTTTGAGTCATCTGAGTAAATCAGAATAGAGTCTTTTATATTGATTGTAGAGATCTTCTTCAAATACTATTCATATTCTCTCTCTTTAGATAGTTCATTTATTTATAAATCTATGAGAGATTTCAGCTTTTCTCTTCAGAGAGATGTCTTCTCATGATCAATTTTCTCAACATTTAATGAAGAAAATTGATTCTTAATAAGTGAACATAGTCTATACAGTTGAGAGAGCATTTTCTTTAAAACATTATTCTCATTTCAATTAAGAAATCTATTTCAATTCAGTTCATTTTCTGAGTTAACTGATGAAAATGAAGAAGAGACTCTTTCTCTGATTATATGATTTGAGCTCATCTTCATGACTCTCAGAGCATAGTTCATACAGGCCTTTTCAAATCAAATAGCAGAAGATGGAATTGAAGCTTCAATTTCTATTGCTTTAATAGGAGATGATTTGAATGCTCTCACAATTCTTCTCAAAGCTCTGTTTTATAGACTTTGAAAGAGTTCAGTGAAGTTATCTTGATTGTTTCATCAAACTTGAACTTCATAATCAGCTACTGAGATAATACAGGATATGTATAACTTTCTCATAGCCTGAAAGAATAGACCTCTCTCAGTATTTAACAGTCTGATTATACTATTCAGTAGTCTCTCTGCCTTGATGATTCTTTGTTGAATATGATATTTAAAATTCAACTTAGAGTTTAATCATACTCCTAGTCATTTGACATTCAAACTAGGTTTAATCTCTTTATTCAAAAGAGTTAGACTTAGTTCTTTCTCATTTAATCTGGAAAAAAAGTAAATTAACTCAGTTTTATTCATATCAAATTGAATTAGATTGATATTTGCTCTAATAAAGATTTTCTTTACTGCTTTCTCAATCACTTCTAAATTCTCTTTGATTGTCTTTGAACTGTAGAGTAGATCAATATCATCTACATAACTTGAAGATCTCACTATTTTCATCTCTCTATTCTTGAATAGATATGCAGTGTATATTGCAAATAAAACTGGTGAGATTGAAGATTTTTGTGATACTTCTATTTTTATCTCAGTTTTATCTTGTTTTCTTCCATCAAAGAATAGTTGTATAATTCTTTTAGACATGAAACAATTAACTCATTTTATTAGAGAAAGTGACAGTTTTAACATCTTCAAAGTTTGAATCATCTTAGACTTTAAAACATGATCAAATGCATCTTTTATATCAATAAAAACTGCAGTTGAGACCAGGCCTTCATTCTTTGCTACTTGAACATCATAAATAACTGAGAGAACAGTGTCAATTGCAGAACATTGTTTTCTACCTGTGATTCAAAGGTTGCTTAAGCCAGCGTATGATTACAGGCGTACACCGGCTTCTTATATACTGTACACTAAATTAATTGATGGCTGCTATGACCTCTTTACATTCATAAGCAAGTTCAGAAGCAGCTGTGTTATTATTCAGCAGTTGTATATTCTTTCAAATCACATTCTCTTTCATCAGATTCAGTCACGCTCACATGATCATATCATATACTCTAGCTTCATGTGAATTAGCTCGCCACTAGTGTTTTATGATCATGTGATCTATCTCTGATTCAGCTAGTATTCTGTGTACATTCTCATAAAGAAACTTTCACTATATTACATCTCCCATTTACTAACTTTTCTCATTCTTCAATCATCTTCTTCATTATCATCATCATTGAACATCATCATCTCATTCAAGATTTCTACTTCTTCTTCTATTTAACTCTTTCTATCTGTTCATCTATCACATTATATGTGTTTCTGGCAATGACTCTCTGTTCTTATAACAAGTGTCATCATAGTGCTCATATCAGACAGTTCATTAGCAGTAAGTGTAATGCATTGTAAAATGTGATCAGGACTTATTTATTCTCTAACAATCACTAGAACATATTACTATGAATAACACATCTTCTTCATCTTCTTATACACTCTCAATTATTTTTTCTTCTCAGTGAGCTTCTGATCATGTTTTCTGACATAATTTTGTATGAATACAGATGCTGATATGTTTGTTTTTATTCACATAGAATCTTCACATATTGACAGATTCACATCTGCTGATGATAGTCAACTCAATATTGAATCATTGATTAAGAACTTAGAGAATGTGATAATGAAGAAATTGTCTGTATTATATGTAACTGAGTCTTTCATATCTCTCTCTGCCTCTTCTGCTGCTTCTTTCTCTGCTACTCTCTTCTCTATTTCTTTCTCTGCTGCTCTCTGTCAGTCTTCTATACTTGTCTCTGTGTCTGGTTCTCCTGCTCCTGCTATCTCTGTTTCTGTGACTCTCACTTCTGCTACTTCTGCTTCTGCCACTGCCTTCATTACTAACTCTTCCTGTTTCAGGAAGATGTTATGTAGACTCAGTGAATTATATTTTTTAATGTATACACTCTCACTTCTCTTACTGATCTCTAGAATAATTTATTGTATAAAGATAATGTATAACACAACTATCTGAAGCTTGATCACAGACACTGATTATTATATTTATTTTAAATATTTATAATGAGACAATTGTTCATTTATATCAGAGAATCACTCTCTCTCTCAACAGTATTAAGATTATAAGTCTTTTTTCTTTTTTATCTTTTCTTTCTGACACTGATTTTTCTATTCTTAGAGAAAATTGTTATGAGTTTTATTATACATAAAGTTGTGATATTCATAGATATCAAGAAACTTTTTACAACTGTAAAGTTCAATATCACAGAGACATCTGCTCTAATGAATTTCTTCAGAATGATAGATCTGTATCAGTTTATTCTCTGATATCTGTTATCTGACTTTGTAATGCAGATAAAAGATATCTGTGTTTTCAGAAATAGAAATATGAATGTCATACTCTTTTACATCTGCAGATGGGAGGCTTGTATGTCTTGTCTGAGATATTATTATGAGAATGAGCTGTTCACATGCTGTGTTCTACTTCCTGCATTCTCTCATGTCTCTCTCTCTCTTTCTGGGAAGTCTTGTATGTGTTGTAATTATGCATACAATGTTAAGATCAGTGAGTGTTTATTCAGTAACTATTCTCACTTCTGATTTTACAGTTTTTATACACTAATAATAATTCTTAGTTGCTTCAGTGTCAGAGATCATTCTAATCAAAGATAATAATGCTGCTGAGACTACTCTCTTCTGTTCTCAAGCTTCTCTTATCACTTTCTCTTTCTCTTCTGTGAAGAAGATTGTGTGCATATCAGATTATAAGTATTTAACTCTGAGTAACTTCTGCTGTTATTCATCTGATTCTGTATCTTCTTCTTCTTTCATTTCTTCTGTCTCTGTTCTCTCTGCTCTGACTTCTGATTCTGCAGATTCTGTACTCTTCTTTAATTTTTCTACATGTATACATATACATTTCTATATTGGCATTTCAGTCACTCTTGTGATAAATGACATTAATGTTGTACATAGAGCAGTAGAGAAATCAGAGACATGTACAGTGTTATTATGAAAGTGACTTACAGCTCTTGAATCTCTTACAGATCTTGAGTTTTGAGATTTCCTTTATTTTTAACATTTTTTAAGTGATGTGATGTTGAAAATAGATTAAATATATAATGTATAAAAATGAATGAGATATGTATAATAATATTTATCTTTTACAGCTAACTCTTACAGTTGATAATCAATTCATTATTTCTTTTCTTTTCTTATACTTTTTCTTTGTCTGCTAGTCACTACTCTTATATAATCTCTATATAATACAGTGTTCAGTGACTAGGTTCAGTAGCTTTCATCTTGTGATTCTGTCTCATATGTTATACTGTCTCTCTTCACTCACTCAGATCACTACAGTGAATAACTCATTGAAACTAACCTTGCCTGATCTCTGAGCATTCTCAGAGATTAAGATGACTTGATTTCATGCATCTGCAGATGTTTCAGATAGTTCATTCTCTGTAATCTCTATAATTAAGCTAATGTAAACAGTTAAATTCAACTCTGAATCTCTTTTTCTTCTGTGATCTGACTCACATACAAGTCTGTCACTTTGAGACTGCTTTTTATCACATTATGTCTACTATCTGCAGTGTGTTATCATACAACTGACTACAGTCTTATTACTTATTAAAGTGTGACATTCATCTGATTTCTTTATTATCTCTCATTCTTTTCTTATAATTATGAAAAGATCAGAATAAGTGAGATTATCTGATTTGTAAGTATCTATAATTTCTCTTACTTTGTGAGACTTTTCAATTGTAAGTCTCTTCTTTTTCAATACTGATAATAGTGCTGTGAATAATTATAATTCACTCAGATCTTACATCTTTACTTTTATAAGTTATGAATTATTTATTAAGTTATGTAAGATTCATTCCTCTGATTCTTTCAATGCATATATTCTCAAAGAATGTGATTTAAGTATTTTATATAACTCAAATCATCTAGATTGAAACTTCTCAGAACTCTTATTATGTATAAGAACTCATATTTTCATCTTGAGACTTGATATCTTAACTAGTGAGTCTTGTATTCTTTTCAATTGAATTGCTCAGTTCAGAAGTAACTTATTAGCTTTTGTACATGTGTGACTGATCTCTTTCAATCTTGATTCTGTGTCTGTAACTGTTGTGTTCATAACTGCTGTTCCCTCTCTTCTCTCTTCTGAAACATTCTCCAGGATGCACGGATGCAATTCATACAACAAATAGAATAATAAACACTTAAAGACTGTATACTGTTAAATCTGCATGACTAATAGCATCTGTCTGAGATATTCATTTCATAGTCTTGTAGAATTGCTCATTAGATATTTCATCAGTATATTATCTAAGATTTCATTCAAGCATTCTATCTTTCTGTTTATTCACAGATGATATAGTGTTGTTCTACAATGTCTTGTCTGTAACTGACTTATGAAATGCCTCATCACTTCTTCTATAAGATTCACACTGTTATTAGTTAGAATCTTGCACAGTATTCTATAGTTAATATAGATCTCATTATATAGAAACTTCATTATCATCTTCTCTGTCATCTCTGAAACTGCTTTCACAACTGATCAGTCAGTAGTGTAATCAATAGCAGTGATTATTTATTAATTTTTATTTGACATTTGCAGTAATATGTTTATGAGGTTCATTTCTCATTGTTTAAACAGTTATATCATACACTTTATCTGATATTGTACTTTCTCATATTTTAATCCTTTCTTAGATTCTTTTATGACCTAATAATTCAATTACTTATGAGCATACATCTGAATGTTCTTGATCATGCTTAGTCAGTATACTCTTGGTTTGAGTATACTCATGAGTTCAGAACTTTCTAAGTGACTGAATTTCTTATGTATATGAGTTACTAAGTTGTATCTAAATGAAGATTCTAGATAGAAAGCTTCTGTATATTCTAGATTGCAGTAAAGTATAATATTATTTTTCAATTTTCTCAGCTTGAAGTTCAGAAGCATCTCTTCTACTACTCTCATAAGATACTTGTTATTCAATATCTTATCATTCTCTAAGTAAGAGATTATTATGTTCACTCATTCTGATTTCTTACACTCTCTCAGCATATTTAATACAAACTTTTCTTGTACCTAGTTCACAGAACTCTCATTCATGAAATCAGATCTGTAACTAATTATATCAGATACTACAGTGTCTGATTTCTTTCAGTATTTAATATGAAGATTATATACTTAAAACTCTGAGATTCAATGTGCTAAGTGTTTAAAAGGTTTTATTATTAATTATAGATAGACAAGGCTTTCATAATCTGTGATTACTATTATTATAAGCCTATTATCAATATATCTATCTCACAATGTCAGTGTGTGCTTAATCACTAGCAATTTCTTTTTATACACTGAGTAATTGAGCTCAGTATCTGATAGTTTTTTATCATCATATATCACTGAGTGTAGCTTGCTGTTCTTACTTATCTGTAGAAGAGTATCTCTGATAGCTCATTCAGATGTGTTTATTTTAATGTAGAAAGGTTTATTACAATCTGATTAAATAAGCACTGAGAATATTATTATACATTTTCTCAGTGTGAGAAAAGTCTCTTTGCATGCAGTATTTCAGATAATTGAATGAAACTTCTTCTTTCACAGATTTGTATTCATTTCTCTTAAGAGATCTGAGAGTGATACAGATATTCATACAAAATCCTTAATAAATCTATGATAATATGAGATTAATTCAAGAAACTGTTGTATATAATGTACATTTCTTAACTGTGATCAATTTACTATAACATTCAATTTCTTCAGAATGAGATATATACAGTCATCACTTACTATATATTCTATGAACTTCAACTCTTTCATTTTAAATATATACTCTATTAATTTGATATAGAGCTTATACTCTGTCAGAGTTGTAAGCACTTTATCAAGATACTTCAGATATTTATTATATAAGTTTAAGAAGATCAGAATGTTATTAAGATATATAAGATATAAGATTTCATTTTATTTATGAAGAATTGTATTCATCATCATTTAAAAGATAATGAATACATTTGTCAGACTGAATGATATTATCAGAAATTCAAACTTTTCTCATTGTGTATTAAATATGATTCATGAAACTGACAGTTCACTCACATGAATCTGTCAGTATTCTGAGAGAAGATCAATCTTTAATAGATATCAGGTGTTTTCAATCATATTCAACTGTTATTGAATTCATGACAGTGAATATTCATTCTTGATTATAAGCTTATTAAGTGCTCAGTAATCAATATATATTTATCACTTCTTATCTATCTTTTTCATAAATAGAACTGAAAAGTCTTATATACTTAATGAGAGTTGTATAAGATCATGTTCTAGAAGATCTGTGATCTGACACTTCTGTTCTTCAAGATGTGTTTGTGACAGAGAATATGCATTCTGAGTAACTGGTTTCATGTCCTCTGTGTCAATCTTATGTATAAATCCTCATTCTGATAACAATTCTGATAAAAGATCTGTTCAGAAGATCTTCTTATACTTCTTTAGAAGCTTCTTTATACACTTATTCTTCTGTATATTCTTTATCTTGATTTTCTTCACTTTCAGATCTTATATGACATACAGAATGTTTTCAGATAAGATCTTATAAATCATTCTCTTTACTTATTAATATATAAGCAGATTTAATTCTTCTATATCAGAGACATGGAATGTTCTTTTCATATCAGTTAATAGAATTGTATGAACTGTTTTCTTTCTATCAGTTAACTATATATAATATATACATCATTGAATCTGTGAATTGAATCTTTAAAATCAATTCAGTCTGAGAATAAGATCATATTTCACATTCTGCAGCTCTTACACTAAAATGTAGTAAGATTATTCTCTGAAGTATAAGAGAACTCTTACTCTTGCAGATGATATTAAGTATCAGTTATTAGATAATCTTATACATTGAGAATTCTTCACTCAGCAGACTTCTTTCAGTCTTCAGATTATATAATCATTAATATATTATATAGAAGCTTCTGTGTCTGCTAATACTTTTGCAGTCATCTCTCAATTCTTATTCAAGTGTCTCTTATACATTAACATTTTGAGTCTCAAGACAGTGAAATAAGTATCTACTTCATCATTCTCATCTGCATCTCATTTGAGAGTCTGCTTTCTCTTGACATTCACAGAATTCAGAGAATCATCTAACACAGACATCTCTTTCACTTTGAACACTTTTTATAGAATATCAGTGAGTGTCTTCAAGCTCACTGATTCTGCTAGTTTTTTAACTCTCTTGCTTCTCTTGACTATACACACTGTGTGTAATCTTTTATATCATGATTTTAACATCTGCAGTTGAAGCAAGCTTGATGCTTATAATATCAAGATTTTCACTCAGAGAATTGCTTTTTCAGAGAATTCAGTGCTTTAGTAATAACATTCAGATCTAGATTTATCATATTCAGATATATAACTTATGTTATAGAAGTCTGATTACTCATTCTTCACTGAGATATACTTAATTGCAGTATTTTCTATTATAATTGACTCACTTATTTCTATATAATAAGAATGTTGTACACTTCTTTCACTATATCTGATTATAAGATTAAGTATTTTTATTCCACTCTCAACTCAGATATAAGATCATGAATAAAGATCTGTAAATAGAAAGATATTAAAAGCTCTTCATTCAATATAAGATAGTGTAAGCTAAAGTATGTGAAGTATAATATAAGATCACTTACTTATTTACACTCAGTGAAGTATTTATAACACTTATCTTATATATTTACTTTTTCAAAGTTATGT